ACACACACACACACACACACACACACACACACACACACACACACACGTTTGAAGGATGGATCTTGTGTTCACGGACTAGAGTGTGATCTCAGCATCATTTAAATCAGTGCTGCTGTGTTTGAGGGCTGATGGGTAATCGTGCGCAGCTGTCAAAGGATACTTCACAAACTCAATGGCGTTCGTCTTCAGATAGCCCAAACCCACAGACTCGTTGAAGGACGACATGTTGTGATGGATGTTCCTCTCTGAAATAAAACAACACAACAGACACTCATATATCATGAATACATTTATATATATTATGCAGCTGCACGACTGGTCTTCAAAGAGCCCAAAAGAGCCCATGTTACACCTCTCTTTATCTCCTTGCACTGGCTACCGGTTGCGGCTCGCATCAAGTTCAAGACATTGATGCTTGCATATAGAACAGCCACAGGCTCAGCACCCGCCTACTTCCACTCACTACTACGAATCTACATCCCCTCCAGAAGTCTGAGATCTGCTAGTGAGCGACGCCTCGTGGTACCATCACAGAGAGGCTCAAAATCACTTTCCAGAACATTCTCGTTCACCACTCCCGGCTGGTGGAGCAATCTTCCCACCCCTATCCGGAATGCTGAATCCCTGACAATGTTCAAGCGACAGCTGAAAACTCATCTCTTTCGACGCTACTTTACTACATCCTAAATAAAAAATTTTTTTTAAAACTTTGTCTTTGTCTTTATTTATTCCTTCTCTTTCTAGCTTGTACTGATTTGAACAATGCCTGAGACGAGCACTTTCTGTGTCTGTTTGCCTCTTTAAGATGAATCGCTTGATGTATTCCCAATTGTAAGTCGCTTTGGACAAAAGCTTCTGCTAAATGACTAAAAGTAACTGTAGATAATGACTGATCAATTACCTCAAAACCTGAAAATACATCAAACAAGAATGTCCAAAACAGTGTTGATGGTAACACATTACTTTTTACTTTAGAAGGAAATATCGGAGTTACTTTTTCAAATAATAGCTCCAGTTACTTAGTTTCCGTGTGTTGAGTGACAGCTCTGGTGTTGCCATGGAGACAGAAATCAGGAGTGAGTGCAGAGTGTTGTGTGTGAACATGATCTTACTGTAGCTCTAGACTAGATATCAACATGTGTTTACTCATCTCACTGCACACAAACACATTCAGTGCTCCTCACAATCAATACAAACTCACAATATGATGCAAACCTGCAATAATTCAATACGTTACATTACACAAATATCATTTATGTATTTAATCCTATTTTATCAACCAGTGTCTTTCCCGCTAACCTTCTATGATCCAATACTAAGCAAAAATAAAATTCAACTTTGATTTTAGTTATTGCTGAATAGTGTTGAACGTTCTTCTGCTGCGTCATATTCTTCATGAGATGTGTTTGAGCGGCGCCCTCTACTGTACAGACCAGAATTTACATTTCCTTCAGCCTGAGACGCATTCACTTCACTTCTGCTGTGAGAGGACTTTACATTTGTGAAAGAAGAACTTCTTATATTAAAAACAAGCAAACAAGCCCTGCCCAGATTTAAAAAGTAACAACGCATTACTTTCCATAAAAGGTAAGTAACATAATTAGTTACTTTTTTAGGGAGTAACGCAATATTGTAATGCATTACTTTTAAAGGGGTCTTATCCCAACACTG